ATGGTCAACAGAAGCTGAGTGGAAAGAATTTCTGCTTTCAGTGGCTGAATTATACTTCCTGTTGCCCCGCCTGGCTGGTTTGCATTGACAATGCCTTGGAGTACGGCAGACCTGCCTGGCTATCACCTAAACCACCCAAACCACTAGAGGATTGTCCAGATTCTGAATGGAAGATCAACCTGGTGGCTTCATAGACCCAAAGGCCATAAATGATGTGACTTCCTATGTTTGCTCTAGAATGATCTGGGCAAGGCAGCTCCTTTCTAAAGGAACTATCTCTCTTGAGGAATAGAATAGTGGGGAACTGTGTCCATCAATTGAGGTCAAGACACAAGACTCAATTTAAGAACCTGCACTAATGCTGTGTCTGTTATCCCGTCCCCACTGTTGGGGGAGGGGGGAATAATGCTCACAAGTCTTTGAAGTCTTTTGACACAGACTGTCCAAAGTGCCACCAAATGAGCCAAGATGACACTCAGCAAAATAAATGGTTTGATTTTCTGAGAGATAAGAGAATGGGATTAGATAAATACCAGCCACACCAGACCGCTTAGAGCAAAACCCTGTTAACATGAGATTATATGGAGGAGAAGAAAAACCCACTCACTATAAAAGTTAACAGCAAAGCTGTGTCAGTAATTAATATCAGCCTGGCTCAGTCGGTAGCACTCTCACCTCTGTCAAAATCCACATTGAGAATTGAGCTTACAGTACAGTCAGTGCCTGAGGAGAGCTGAGTTGTTGGAGGTGCGTCCTTCAGAAGAGATGTCAAATTGTGGTCCTATCCAGTGGTGAGACCCACCTCTGTGGTGGTGGTGGTGTGGTGGGGGGGAAAGCCATTCACATCCCCGATTAGCTATAGATCCACTAATCTGAAATAAACAATTTTTTAAACCATTCCTTACTCTTCCACATGGATAACCTTCAACCTCTAACCTAATCCAGGTGCACAGCACTTTTCACAGAGGGTGAACAACACAAAGAACTTCAAATGCTGATGGAGATCGCTGAGCAAGGAGGAGAGGAAGGTTTTGATTAAAGTCACTTTCGAAGAACGGATGTACGTTTTGAAGGCGGAGAGAGAGCAGGGGTGAGACAATGGGATTTAGGGAGTGAATACCAGTGTGCATTGGGGGGCATATTGTCAGATGGCTGGTGGGCTGGAGGAAGTGTGACTGAGAAGCAGGCAAGATTAGCTGTGGGAAAGATGGCCTTGTATCTCCCTTCCCTGTGAAGCCCAGGCTGATTGTGCTACCCTGACTGACTGCTGTCATGGCTGAGGCCAGCTCACAGAGTGTGGTGATAGCCTCTGACCTACGTTTCGAGAAGAAAATCACATTTCAAATCCACCCGAGCAGGCTCGCTCTGCCAACAGTCCCATTCTGGCAATGGAATATCTGTGGCATTGACTCCATTCCAATATTCTATTACCATGTATTTTGTGAGTGAAATGCAACAGCCAATTGCCCACAAACAGTTGTGGATTGAGCTACCAAAACATATATATTTTTTGGAAGGATTGTTACCCCCGGAAAGCGATCTGCCAATTGACTAACAACCAAGTTCCTACTTACTGCTAGGTAAACATAGGTGTGTTGAGTAAGGAAACTTGCCTAAAGTTTCACCCTGCCAGGGAATCAAACCCAGGACCTCCTACTTGCTGAGCGCACTAACCATTACTCTACAGGATAGAGTGGTCCAAGGTGGACAAGCAGTGTGAAGATTTCTCAATGGCAGTGCTTCCAACGGCAAGCTATAAGGTTTTAGTTGGTTCGACTCTAGTAGTACACCAACGCACACTCTTGGGTCCCCAAACCTCTTACCAACCTGCACCTAAATTGTCTAGGATTAGGTGAGCAGGATGTGTCCCTCTGGGAAGAGAGTTTGTGCATTCCAAAGGGAAAACATATAAGTTTAGCACTCAAAGTATGTTGGTTTAATGACTCCGAATCTGTGAGAATGTGTCCAAACTAAAATACCATACTAAAACTGTGACATCAGCTGTAACTTAGAAGAGAAGCAGAGGAAAAGATTGTTTTGGGAAGATTAAAAATCTCACAGATTACTGTTTGTTTTGGCCTGGTCTGAGTTATGTGAATGTGAGGTGGAAAGGCCACTTGCCTGAATCACATGGTAGAACTTCCTGCTTTTTGTTCATCCAACGTGGTATATCGTGCAGTGTCTGAGTCAGTCTGGCCATTCCAGAGAGAGGGAGCGCTGGGGGAGGGGGCTGAGCAGTGGGGATGTGAAATAGAAAACAAATAATCCTTGCATTTGATACAGGGTTTATAGCGGCAAATATCTTGAAGCACTCCACAGGGAATTGACTTATTCTGTAAGCAAACATGGTGATGACATCGCACACAAGAATGTCCCATGATGTGAATGAACAATTGTTGGCCTGGACACCAGGAGAAACTTCAATATCCACCTGATCAAACACAGAGGACCTTGGTTTACATAGTCCTGCAACTCTGCAGTGCTCCCCACTGAATGATTGGAGTGTCAGCCTCCTATGTGACTATGAAATCATGTCCTTATATGGGGCTTAAACACACAAACTCCTGAAAAAGTGACACAAACTGAGAGAAACAGAGTCTGTCCTTGACCTGAGTTTCCCAGACAGCACAAAGCTCTCTTTGTGGGGAACTCATCCCAATATTGTCCAAAACTATATATTCGTTCAAAATTGTAGAAAATGGTGAGGTGAAATTGGAATAAATCATTCCAGAGATTTGAAACGACAAGGAGTTTCTCTCTCCCCGTGTCCTGGACAAATAAAATTGGTCGCACACTCCACGGCTGTTTGTAGGACACTGCTGTGTGAAAACTGGCAACTGTGTTTCGTCTACAAAATACACAGTCACTACATTTAACAGTATCTTCTGTGAAGCGCTTTGAGACGTCTCGATGATGTGATAATATCAAATGTAAGGATTATTATTATAATTATAAAGCAACACACTGCCATCTCGTGGCTAGTCTGGAATATCATTTCAACTCTGCTGAGGTGCTATTTTCTGCACATATTTTAACCAGCACATATGTCAAAGAGGAATTAGCCTCATGTTATGTGTAGCCCAACCCCATCTCAGAGAAGGGATTATATGTATAATGGAGTGCATATAATAATTATCCTTGCACTTGATGTCGAGTCCTGTAGCTCAGTGGTTAGAGCACTCGCCTCGCAAACAAAAGGATATGGGTTTGATTCCCGGGCAGCGCGAAACATTTGGCAAGTTTCCTTACTCCACACACCGCTGTTTACCCAGCAGTAAGTAGGAACCAGGTTGTTAGTCGTCTGGCAGATCGATTTTCTGGTGGCGATAATCCCGTCAATAAAAAATAATAATAATTTGGTCACTCAATCCACGACTGTTTGTGGGACGCTGCTGTGCGCAATTGGCTGCCGCATTTCCCCCCCAAAATATACAGTAATTCACTTTACAGTGTATTCTGTGAAGCACTTTAAGACATCTCGAAGAAGTGATAAGGTGCTATATCAAATGCACATCTGAGGAAGTCTAAAAGCATTTTACATGATTCACTGCAATGTGTAGTGATTATATTTGTGGGTGATTGCAGCAACCCATTTGCACACAGCAATGTCTCACAAACAATGTCTCACAAGTGAATGCCCAATCTGATTTGATGGCTTGTTGGCCGGGACACCGGAGGAACTCCCTTCTCTTTTCAAATTTGATATAGAGGTTTAGGACTTTGAAAAGCGCCACAGATAATTATAATAATCTTTCATGTGGTATTTTATCATAATTGCTGTGCGTTTGTAGGCAAACACTGCAGTTCATATTACATGCAAACCATTAAATAAATGATCGATCTTTGCGGAAAATTGCTGTGCTTATATTAGATCTATCTATCGCTTGATCGATCTATCAATCTATCAATCCAGCTGGAGGATTGTTGGCTAGATCACAGAGATTTTATCCTTTAGATGGGATGTTAAGCTAAGGTCCCTTTTGCCTATTGCTGTCACAGTACTTGAATAGTGAAAGGAGTTTCTCCCAATGTCCAGGTCAACAATCCAGAGAAATTGTCCGTTCACTTCATGGATGTTTGCGGGAAATTGCTGTGCTAATGTTAGCTGCTGTATTTTACTTATGAATACACAGTCACTACACTTAGCAGCAATTCCCCAGGAAGCACTTTGACCCATTTTGACCTGATGCAAGTTTGATTAATACGATGTGATGAAATGCGGTGCGGACAATTTGGCCGTTGTCTTATCTTCCAAAAGACACAAGCATGAAACCAACGTGTGGGGCCCACGGGCACCAGTGCCAATGTGGGGGGGGATGGGGTGGGGGGGTGGGGGGCTTCTAAGAGAAAAGGAACTCCAATTGATGAACTTGAGGTTTTTTTTAGGTGGTGGTGGTGGGGGGGAATGGGGGTGGGGGGAATGGGGGTGGGGGGGGAATGGGGGTGGGGGATGGGGGGGGGGGGGAATGGGGGGGGGGGGGGTCACAGCCCAATGGATGGAAGACCATCTATCTGAACACAAGCCCTGGACCTGCCTGTGTGAGTGGAGTCAGTTGCAGCCTCACTCAGTGCAGCACACGGCAGGTTATTAAGCAATCAATTTGCGCACAAATAAGAGCCCAGGCGTGTGGGGGAGCGGCTTAACCCGAGGGCAAGGCGTGAGGGGAGGGTGTGCAATCAGTGTGCGGGGGGTGGGCCGGTCCTGTGTGCAGTGCGGGGAGGGGAGGGCGCGGCGCTATGAGCGCACCTGGACTGCAGGTACCTGTGCGCTGAGACCCTTTTACGCACTCGACATGTGTTGGGCTGTGGGTCGCAATCTGGACGCGCTCCCTATCGGGATGATGCTCTTGTTGGCCTTCCCAGCTCTGCCCGGGGGGGCCGGGGTGAGGGAGGAGGTTGGGGTTGGTGGGGGGTTGGGGCCCCTGATTGAGGTGTTGTCTGGCAAGGTCACCCCCCCCCAACAACAACAACAGCAACAACAGGAGCCGCCGCCTGCTGACCATCACCTGCAGTACATGGTCCACCTGTACCAGCGGTCAGCAGATCAGTTGGGCAAACCCCGAGCCAACAGGACTCTGACCACCAACACCATCCGCTTGCTCAAGCCTTGTGCCAGTTTAGTGCTGCCCAGCACAGGTAAGCAGAGCTCCTGCCTGGTCAAGACAACCGCCGCATCGCTCTGTAGCCTTCCACTCCCAACTTCAGGAGCATTTCAACGGTTTCATCCAATTTGGGCCAATAAAATAAACGGTTGTTGATCCAATATTTATTGGTTTATGCCAACAGTAGCCACAGTTTATGGCGTCAATGTTATTGTGTTATTTCTAGTACCAGATGTTTAGTCACCGTTGATTTAACCCAATTGCAGTTAAATCTCTCTCTTGCATTGATTGGGTTCCTGTAAACTTTGACACATTAATCAGTGAGTTTGAACTTTGGAGTCCATTAATGTATTGATTAGGGCAAAAGCGCTCTGAGGTGCTACCCTGTGAGGAGGGTGCTATATGAGTGCAAGTTGTTGTTGTTGTTGTTATTGTAGGCACTCACCTTGCAAATAAGGGGACCCAGGTTTAATTCTTGGGCAGGGTGAAATGTTAGACAAGTTTCCTTACTCCACCCTCCTCTGTTTACCTAGCAGTAAGTAGGAACCTCAATATGAGTCGATTAGTGGTTTGCTTTCCAGAGATAATGATCCCTTCAACAACAACAACAATAATAATTTGATCACCCAATCCATGATTGTTTGTAGGACGCCGCTGTGTGCAACTGGGTGCTGTGTTTCACCCAAAAAATATAGTCAATTCACTTTACAGCATATTCTGTGAAATGCTTTAAGATGTCTTGATGTACTAAGCTGCTATATCAAATGAATATATTATTATAACTACCCACACCTCAACTAAGTTAAATGCATGGGAATGTGTTGCTGTGTTTATCCAATCAACAAGATGTCCAAATATATCCATGGCTTCTGAAGGTGGGATTAAACTTTGGTTAAAGCAGAGACTTGGGTCTGGTTAGGTGCTTATGACTCACTGACTGAGGTGATTCCAGAAAATAGATTTAGAAGGGGCTTTAATCCTTTAAATTTTTTTTTACAAAAATGCAATTTCCACAAACACTCAGCTAGATACTCAACCAACCCTCAAAATTTACATTCCCTAAATTTAGTTTTGCTGCTATCAGCCAGCATAACGCTGATGCTTTCAGTAAAATAAAGCGGTGCCATTTGTTTTGGAGTTGACTTAAAATCTCAAATAAATGGCAAAATCTTCAATTGAATATTAATGAAACATTTTAAGATTGTATGTCAGCCTGGCACAGTGTTAGCATTCTTGCCCCCGAGTCAGAAGGTTGTGGGTCCAAGTATCACATTTGGACTTGAATTTACGTAGAGCTGGGACACGATCCCATTGCGCTATTCAAAAAGAGGAAGTTATTTCTCCCAGTGTCCTGGCCAACAATCCCCACAGTGGAGTTAATCATTCATTCCATGTTGTCTGGTGGGATGTTGCTGCTTGTAAATTGGCTGCTGTGTTTGCCCACTAAATACAGTCACACCATTTTACAGTATATTCTGTGAAACACAGATATCTTGGTGTGATGAAGTGCTTAACAAATGCAAGGATTAAAGATTCTGTGAAGGAATGGACAATAGCAACTTGGATTTATATAGCTCCCTTTATGTAGTGTGATACCTCGGAGCACTGGAATCTAATAATAATTCTTGCATTTGCTATAGCACCTTGTCACATCATTAAGACATCTCAAAGCTCCTCACAGGATATCCTGGAAAGTGGTTTGACTGTATTTTGTGGCTGAAACTATGAATCTAGTCATAATGTCTAGATTGTTATCCCTAATAATGGGACCTAATAAAGAGATGTATTTAACGTAACTCTAGGCTAAAGGGTGAAAAAAATACATACTGGGAGTGTCATCTGGGTCCAGCAGGCCAATAGTCTAGAGACTTTAGTGGTTAGATCACTGAAGAAATAGCATTGAAGTAGCTCAGAAACATATCAACTGAAATTTCATACCAATAGATTAGCTTGGGAAGAGGCTGTTAGATTGTACAAAGCATTGTTCTTCTCCACTGAGAGTGCAGTTGGAAAATCTAGTCTTTATTTTCTTATAGCAAATAATGTCTCAGGATTCAACAACATGATTGCATTTATAGAGCGCCTTTCACGTCGGGAGGACGTCCCAAGGCGCTGGACAGTTGGGTCGGTGTCGAACCCAGGATGTAGTCGCTATAACTCGGATTAAACAAACACTCACAAATAGAGTTAGCTCAGAAATATAATTTATTCAACACTTGCAGCAAGGAGAGGGAAAGTGAGAGGCAATACAATAGCACGTCTCTCAGAAGAGTCGGTACTCTCCCTCTACCAATGGGCCAGTCCCATTAGTTTATATACATGATTATTTGCGATCACCTCAGGTCTCAAAACAATTCTTGGTGTTGATTGACCAGCAATATTCAGTCATCACAAGTTTAATTATGCATTTGCAGACAGGACAGGTTCTGCTCTAATTTATCTACATCGTTGCCTACAAAATAGCTCTAATCTTATTATAGTCTCGACACTCTGTGCTTTACATATTTTAGTCCTTTTACATTCCCACACTACGATTACTTACCTGCTGACTTTCAGGGTATCTGTGCATTAGGGCATTATTTACCGATGATCCAATTGGCTAAACAAATGCCTACTGAGATGGGCCTCCGAATGCGCCGATCAATTGATCCATTCTAAACCCATCATCAGTCTATATGGATTCATTCTTCGGTGCACTATTACCCAATTACGGAATGATGTGTGCCTCAGATCAGATTGAGGAATTGGCTGCCGATGTTTTGAAACTTGCTAATGGGGGTTGAGAGGGGAGCTGAAGGCACGGTTGAATAGAAAGGTCTTGAGAGCGGCCTTGAAGGAGGAAAGGGAGAAACAAGGCTAAGGCACTGGGGGATGGAGTTCCAGAGCCTCGGGGCTGAGAGGCTGAAGGCCCGGCCACCGATGGTAGGGTGGTTTGGGCGGGGGATGTGGAGCAGACCGGAGCCGGAGGAACAGAGGGTACGGGCAGGTAGGTAGGGGGATAGTAGGTCAGAGAGGTAGGAGGGAGCAAGGCTGGTAAGGATGTTGAAATCGATCCTCTGGGGATGGGGAGCCAGTGGAGGCGAGCGAGGGTGGGAGTGATGTGGTCGCGGTGTCTGGTGCGGGACAGTACACGAGCTGCAGAGTTCTGAATGACCTGCAGTGTGGAGGGAGGGCCGGGAAGGCCGCGAGGAGAGAGTTCCCATAGTCCAGCCTTGAGGTGATAAAGGCGTGGACCAGTGTTTCAGCCGCGTGAGGGGTGAGATAGTGCCGAAGTCTGGCGATGTTCCGGAGGTGGTGAAAGGCAGTGCCAGTTGTGGTGCGGATATGAGGGAGAAAGGACAGCTCAGGGTCGAACAGAACACCGAGGTTCCTGATGGCTTTGAGAGGTGGAGAGTGCGGCCTTGGATGCTGATGCTGTCAGCACCTGAGGTGCGGAGGCACTGACGTGAGACAATCAGAAGGGCCTCAGTTTTGCGCACGTTGAGCTGAAGAAAGTTGTCTCTCGTACAGGACTCGATGTCAGAATATAGTTTGGGACACAACATATGGAAGTGACTGCCAGGATAGTGGAAGGAGAACTGGATGGAACTTGGTCTTTTGCCAAGCAAATTCTTGTGTTGTGTTCTGAAACACAGTTGAAACCACTCAGCTGAATGAGCTATTGGAAAACTTGCAGAAACTAAGCATGTTTACATTGAATGGGGGGAGCGAGGGAGATGATTGACCTGCTGGATTAAAAAACTGGACCCAAAGATATTTGGCACAACCAACCTCAACGCATGAACTGGGAAGGGACCCAACCATTCAGATGTAACTTACACAGTGGGTGGTCAAAGGGAACAGACTGATGAGTAAATTGGCTGCCGTCTAAAGACCTTTCCCCCGACTGAAGACCTTCCTTTTAGATCGTACTTACGGTCAACTCCTTCTCCCCTTGGATCATTGTCAGACTCCGCCACTGTGAAGCGCTCCAGGACACTACCCCATGTGAAGGGCGCTATATAAATGGTGGTGGATGATGATGAGAGTTAGTGAAGCTGGACACTCACTATCTGATAGAAGTTTGACAAGATGTGATATGGTCATGGAACCTGATGTTTAAAAGGACACGAGCTGCAGAGTTCTGGATGGTCTGCAGCTTGTGGAGGGAAGAGTTGGGAAGGCTGACAAGCAGGGAGTTGGCGATGATGACCTGGATGAGGGTATTGTTGGCCTGAGGGGTGAGGCAGTGGCAGAGCTGGCCGATGTTGGCTCAGTGAGGTGGAGTGTGCATCCTTGGATGGTGATGCTGTCGATGCCTGAGGTGTGGCGGTGCTGACAAGAGCCAATCAGGAGAGCCTTGGTCTTGTTGACATTCAACTGTGGAAAGTTAGCCCTCAGTCATGTAATAGAATGATATAAAAGGGGCAGTTTCACCATTTCCGTGTCTGTCTGTACACACCTCTCCTCCTATTCCCCTCACTGGCCTCAACTGTGCAGTGATTCCTTTCCTGTCACTGGGTGTCCTGAAGTAACCCTGAGCAGTCTCTTACACAAAAAGGGTTACTTTCTCAATTCCTTTGCTTGCCTCATAACCATTATTAGAATCCTGGAGTCCTGAGGTAGGGGTTAGTGCGCTCGCCTCGCAAGCAAGTAGACCCGAGTTGGATTCCTGGACAAGGTGAAACCTTAGGCAAGTTTACTTCCTCCACACTCCTCTGTTCACTCCTCCTCTAGTAGTAAGTAGGTTGTTAGTTGATTGGCAGATTGCTTTCTGGGGGAAATAATCCTTTCAAAAAATAAATAATAATAATTAATCACTCAATCCACGATTGTTTGTGAGACACTGCTGTGTGCAATTGGCTGCTGCATTTCACCCACAAAATATACAGCCAATTTACTTTACAGTGTATTTTGTTAAGCGCTTTGAGATGTCTCAATGACAAAGTGTGATATTAAATGCTATTTTTATTATTAATAAAGTAAGCACACCTCTAATGAAATGCTGTAGCATTTTAATATGCTAACACCTTATGTCTTTTGGCTAGGTCCTTGGTACACCCACTACGTTCAATACAATTTGAAGCATCTTCCTGAGCTGGAGCATCTAGTTAAAGTTGCAGTTGTTTACTTGTACAAGAATGCTATGATTTCCTGTGAGATCAGATGTGTCCCTGCAACCTACGCTCACTCGAAGCTCCTTCAGAATGCCACCAGCTTGGAGTTGCCGATCAGGCTCGAAGTAAAGCTGAACAACCGTTGGTCGGAGGCTGACGTGACCTCTTGTGTCCTCTTCCCAAACAGGAATAATGCCTGGAAGCTAGACCTGCACATCAGTTACATGTGTACCAAACAAGGAAAAAACAGTCGAGGCAAGAAGCGGAAAGTCCCCTTCCACTTGCCGGTCCCTTCCCTTCTGTTGTTCCTCAATGACACCGACGAGGCTGCTCATCAAAGGAAAAGGGGCGAGGACAGCCAGATCCCCGTTATTCCCAAATCCAAGATCCTCTCCCGGAAGCCTCGCCAGTTGAGCAACATTGGCTCCGACATCCCAAATTATCTCCGTAAGAAGAATCTCCCCCGAAACCAATGCAAGCTTCGTTCCTTCCTGGTAAGCTTCCAACAGCTGGGTTGGGATCACTGGATTATAGCTCCCCCCAAGTATGATCCCAAATTTTGCAAGGGAGCCTGCCCTCGAATCCTTCACTACGGGTACCACTCACCCAATCACGCCATTGTCCAGACCTTCATCAATGAGATTATTGATAAGAACGTCCCCCGCCCATCGTGCGTCCCCTTGAAATACAACCCGATCAGTGTCCTCCTGAAAGAGAATGACCAGATTGTGTACAAGGAGTACGAGGACATGATCGCAGTGTCCTGCACATGCAAGTGAGGGGTACTGCCAACTGTATCTTTTTGGTAAGGAGCTTAAAAATTCAGTGGAGATGTGGCTGGCACTGTGACTACTGGCTATGTGAGATTGTATCACTTAGTTGTGCACATGTTTACATTGAGAAATACAAGCAACGGAGTGTTGGAATTGGGCCAGTGTTGCAAAGTATCTTAAACCATCATCTATAATCATGCCCTTACTGTTCAAGATTCTCGTTCCTTTCACTCGCCACTGAATCTGGCAAATGCATCTGAGAACTCCTGGTTCCTAACCTAAAAGCTTGCCCACTGGTACGAACAGGGCTTTTACTGAAGGAATGAGTCTGCAGTGTCTCACCCATCTTAGCAGAGAAGAGACTAGACGCAACACCCAAATAAACTGCATTCTACAGAGTGATAATATATTTTGGGGGAGAGGGAGGTGGGGAAGAAAGAGCAGGAACCATCAGGATGTAGTTCCACTTTAATACAGTTTCATAAAAAGCCTTTAAATGAAATCTATGATTTTTTGTCTATTTATAAGTGTAACTGTACGTTTAAATGTATAGCTGGGAACTGTCCTGTCATAAATGTTTATACGCTAAAACGCTTAGTTGTTTGTTTTTTAAAAAGCTAATCCCTTATCCTCACAACCATGCTAAGGCTGGACAAACCACCCCGACCAAGCTCTCTTAATGGAGAGATTGCTCCTGTATGGTTTTTAAATTCTTCACACGTTTCACTCGGCTTGTGCCCAACAGGCCTGTGGTGACCGAACCATTGTAACTGTCAACGCCCAAGGTTTAAGTACCTGACTTGTTGGCGGCTCTGCTATTGAGTTACACCAGTGCAAGTCTGCAGCTTGTTCATTGTGGGAGGTCATTAGCTCTTTCTAAACTGACTGATGCAAAGGGTTAATGGGGGGGGGGGGGGGAAGAAGAGAAAGACATTGAAAGTTTTATTCAATGAGTTCAGAACTGTGGGACAGGGGTTCTCAATGTTGGGGGGAGTAAAATGGTTAATCTTTTTCAGAAGATGTCTGTGCTGTAGACTGCAACTGTGCAATGACTTGTATGTACAAAGTGTGATCGGGGGTGGGGGTTGGGGGGTCTCTGATTATTGTGGGCTTGTTTTAATGTTTTGATCTCATTGGATTATAGCCTTGTAACTTTATTCTGTTATTACTGCTGGACTCGCTCCCAGCAGTGAGAAACTGATGCCTATATGTTGTTTGTTACCTACAATACATACTCAGCCAAAACTAGTGGATCCACACTGGTACACATACCTTTATGGATGATGTAAGCTTTTTCACATTGAGTGTTAATCTGTTTACTGCCTCCAACACCAGTATTTGTGCTGGCTTAACTTTCCGCAAGTAAGCAGATGGCAATCCCAGTGAAAAGTTGTTAGCTCTCTGGTGTGTACTGTATGTTACCAAGTCCCATCACGCCAAGGAACCAGCTTCACTAACTTGCTGTAGGCTGGTTACACTTTATCCCAGTGCAAGTGATATCCTAGAATCTCTCAAACATTATTAACCTCTATCCTCTGCAGGGCAACTGTAAATACTTGTAGTAATTTTATTGAACCACCTGAGAACATTATTGAGCTGATCCTTTGTATTGTCTTATTGTCTATATATAAATTGCATATTAAATAAAGAATTTGCTTGAACCTATTCTAATTCTTGATTTCTTCTTGGGACTGGCTTGTAGCTTCTTGGTTGAGGGTTAGATTATTATAATAATAATCCTTGCCTTATCATGTCTCCAAGACTTCTCCAAATGTTTCACAGAATATACTATAAAGTGTATATTTTGAGAGGAAAAATGCAGCAGCCAATTGTGCCCAGCAGCGTCCAAAACAGTCGTGGATTGAATGACCATTTTTTTTCAGCCTGGCTCATTGGTAGGACACAACCTAAATGAGAAGGTTGTGAGTTCCAGCCCCATGACAAACTTTGCACTTGCATACTCCAGACTCACTCCAGTGCAATGATGGGAGTGCACTGCATTGTTAAAGGTGCTGTTCATTGGATGAGATTGTGGAGTGCTGTAATGTTTTGGTTAGAGACTCGCCTCGCATTTGATTCCTGGGTGAAACATTAGGCAAGTTTCCTTACTTCACATCCTTTGTTTACCTAGTAGTAAGCAGGAACCCAATTGTTGGTTGTTTGCCAGATTGCTTTCTGGGGGTAATAATTTGGTCACTCAATCCACAACTGTTTGTGGGACACTGTTGTGCATGATTACAGTATATTTACAGTATGTTCTGTGAAGTGCTTTGAGACATCTCAATGTCTGGTTTGATCTTCGTATCCAGTCTCTAACCAAGCCTGCATTCACCTCTGTTAAACGCCACCTCCCACCACCATCACCCAGCCCCATCCCAGCCTTGCTCAATGCTTCCAATATCCTTATCCATGCCTTCACCTTCCAGTTGGTCTCCCAGCTCTAACATCCATAAAGTTTACAGTATATTCTGTGAAGCACTTTACTCTCTGTATCCTTGCCCACATGAAAACTCAGTATGTCCATCAACAGTCCTTGTATCTCAGTGAAATGATTGCTCTCACTTGCTTCCTTCATACAGTCACATAGCCCTAAATCTGATCTCTTAACCCCTGCTGCTTGGCTAAATTGAGCTTTTTGATTCTATGTCCTTACCCTGTAAAACTCCCTCCCTCCACTTGTTCCACATGCCCCCCCCCGATCCTACTAAAATCCTCCTCTCTGACTGCCTATGTTCACCTCCCTCTGAAATGCTCTGCCATTACACTATGTGAAGGGTGCTGTATAATGCAGGTTGATTATAGGGCTGTGGTGTTGGTTGGTGGGTGTGAAAACCAGAGACTTGACCAATCAGCTATCTCAGATGGTTGGGTAATGGTGCTGGGCAGGGGAGGACTCCCCCTCCCCCCTTCAATTTAGAATCAGACTCTGACACTGTTAAGCGCTCTGAGATGCTACCCTGCATGGAGGAAGCTATATAAGTGCAAGTGGTTGTTGTTTTTATAGGAAACCAGAGTCCTCATCAATGGCTCCTGGTACTTATTCTTCCTTAATTTTAATATATAAGCATATTATGAAGTTCTGTAGAGTATTTGCCTCGCAAGCAAAAGGACTCGGGTTCAATTTCTGGGTGGGGTGAAACCTAAGCAAGTTAGCAAATGCCTCTGTTTACTTAGGGGTAAGTAGTAAACCAGTTGTTAGTCAATTGCCAGATTGCTTTCTGGGGGTACTAACCCCTCAAAAAAAAACACACAAAAAAATTGGCCATTGAATCCAGGACTGTTTGTGGGACACTGCTGTGCGCAATTGGCTGCCGCGTTTCACCCCCAAATATAGTCAATTCATTTTACAGTATATTCTGTGAAGACATAATAAGGCGCTATATCAAATGTAAGGATTATTAAGTCCTGACAAAGTTTTTTAAGTGTGTGGATGTTTTATCCTTTTTAATGCCCCAAATTTACTTTTCAATCCTGAACTCTTTCCTGTTGGGATTATCATGTAAAGTGGGAAAGCCTCTTTGTGGGGCTTAAATAATAATAATAATCTTTGCATTTGATATAGCGCCTTATCACGTCTTCGAGACGTCTCAAAGCGCTTCACAGGATATACTGTAAAGTGAAGTGACTATGTTTTGTGGGCGAAACGTGGCAGAGATACACAGCGGTGTCCACACAAACAGTCGTGGGTGACCAAGTGACCAAATTATTATTATTTTTAAAAAAAATTTTTGAGTGGTCAAACATTTAATAACACTGTGAGGATGAGATGGTGTTGTTGATGGGAGTTGACAGATGTCTCCGCCCCTTTCCCCCACTTACAGGCTCTGTGCGGACGCTGATTGGCTGAGTGTGTGCGGACGCTGATTGGCTGAGTGTGCGCGGTCGCTGATTGGCTGAGTGTGCGCGGTCGCTGATTGGCTGAGTGTGCGCGGTCGCTGATTGGTTGAGTGTGCGCCGTCGCTGATTGGTCGGCTTTCTGATTTCCGGTGATAACGCGTCACTTCCTAGGAGACGTCGGGACGCCGAGAGGTTGTGAAGGCCGCGCTCCCGCCCCTCCCTCCCTCCCTCCCCCCCGGCACACAGCGGCAGGTCAGGGCCACGGCTCCGCTGCAGCAGTGCCGCGTGTAGGTGACATAACTGTCTCTGTGTTTAGCTCCAAGTGGCTGTGTCACAGCCACAGCCCAGCGCCACCCCCCCCCCCCCCCGAGCTCCCCCCCACATCCCCCCCCCCCCCCCGGGGGCAGAGCTCCTCCCCCCCCGAGCTCCCCCCCACATCCCCCCCCCCCCCCCCGGGGCAGAGCTCCTCCCCCCCCCCGAGCTCCCCCCCACATCCCCCCCCACCCCGGGGCAGAGCTCCCCCCCCACCCCCTCCCCCCCGGGGCAGAGCTCCCCCCACCCCCTCCCCCCCGGGGCAGAGCTCCCCCCCACATCCCCCCCTCCCCCCCCGGGGGCAGAGCTCCTCCCCACATCCCCCCCTCCCCCCCCCGGGGGCAGAGCTCCTCCCCACATCCCCCCCCCCCCCCGGGGGCAGAGCTCCCCCCCCCCGAGCTCCCCCCCACATCCCCCCCCCCCCCGGGGCAGAGCTCCCCCCCCCCCCCCCCCCCCGGGGGCAGAGCTCCCCCCCCCTCCCCCCACCCCCCGGGGGCAGAGCTCCCCCCACATCCCCCCCCTCCCGGGGGCAGAGCTCCCCCCTCCCCCCCCCCCCCGGGGGCAGAGCTCCCCCCCCCTCCCCCCACCCCCGGGGGCAGAGCTCCCCCCCCCTCCCCCACCCCCCGGGGGCAGAGCTCCCCCCGTTTTCAAAGTGGGAAATCCCTGTGAAACTGTCACCCTGAGCCCCGGCACCGCGGCTTTCAGCCCAAACTGCAGCCGGTCACCAGGAGGGATGTGCGGCCATTGGCACATTCAGATTTGTCATTGAGACGACTTGTTGTGTTGAGGGACCAACATCAGATGATGATAATAATAATGTTGTGTTTGATATTTCACCTCATCGCATCCACGAGACGTCTCAAAGCGCTTCACAGAATACACTGTAAAGTGAATTAACAGTATATTTTGTGGGAAAAATACGACAGCCAATTGCACACAGCAGTGCCCCACAAACAGTCGTGGATTGAGTGACCAAATTATTATTATTGTTTTTTTTCCTTGAGGGATTATTATCAGTTGTGTGGAGTAAGGAAACTTGCCCAAGGTTTCGCCCTGACCTGCCGGGAATGGAACCAGGTCTCTCGCTTGCGCGGCGAGTGCTCTAACCACTGAGCTCAGATGTCAGGAATCTTGAAATTCAACTTGCATTTATATAGCTTCCCCCTCGCAGGGTAATGTCCCACAGCCCTAGTCAGTGGTGGAGCACAACACCGAGCAGGAGGGGGGAGGTGACATAACCTGAAGATGGGGAAGGAAGGGGAAAGGCGAAGGGATAGAGGAAGAGTGTGCCAGAGTTTTGAGACATAGTGGCTGAAAGCGTGGCCACCGATGGTGGACCGGAGGGCACGAAGGATATGCAGGAGGCTGAAGGCACTCCCAACTCAGTGTTGGGGCAGAACTGTATTGTTGAAGGTGCTATTGTTTGGATGAAGCATTACACCAAGGTATCGTCTGACTATCCACGCGGATTTTAAGGATCCCACGGCATTAGTTGGAAAGAGAAGGGAGCTTCTCCAGATTTCCTTGCTAAACATTCCCATTCATGTCTGTTTGTGGGACATTGCTGTGGATATATTAGCTGCTGTGTTTGTCTGCAACTTCAGTCAAACCTGTCCTCAACCACTCAGGATTGGACCAAAGTGGCCTGTCAAAAGGCGACCTCTGAGTAGGATTCATTGGTGTTCAAACTGGGCTGTTCCAGGGTGGTTGTTAACAGGAGGTGATTGCTGAATGGAGGTGGTTGTTTGAACAAGTTTGACTGTATACAGTCACACCACTTCACAATGACACACTTTGAGACGTTTCAATTACATGATAAGGCGCTAAAATGTACAGAATTTTTATGGCTATAGAGGTAACCATGTATTTACAATCTGTACAACAGCACAAGCCTCACAGCTCCGAGCAGCAGAGGATGGAGAAGTATGAGAAAGTGACGACTATAGGGAGAGGAGCCAGTGCGGACGTCTACCTGATGAAGAATCGAGAAACTAAGAAACTCTATGCTGTCAAACGGATCAAAATCGATCACTCACGCAAGACAAGAACCAAAGAAGCTGTTCTGCAAGAAGCCATCATCCTGACCCAACTCAAACACCCTCACATCATCACCTGTCACGAGTATTACTTTGACCCAGAAGAAGAGGCCATCTTCATTGTGCAGGACTACTGCGATGGTGGCACCTTGGATGACCTTGTGCAGTCCAAGAAAGGGCAGGGCTTTTTTACCGAGGATGAAGTGATGCAGTGGTTTGTTCAGTTAGTTATGGCCATTCAGTATATTCACTCTATGAAGATCCTCCATCGAGACATCAAAACGCCCAATGTCTTCCTCACAAAGAAAGGCACGGTGAAACTGGGCGATTTTGGTATCTCTAAAATAATGAACCACACCCTGGATGTGGCCAACACCTGTGTGGGAACTCCATGTTACCTCAGCCCAGAGCTGTGCGAGGATGTGCCTTACAGCTCCAAGTCTGACATCTGGGCTCTCGGCTGCCTTCTGTTTGAAATCTGTGCCTTGAAACCTGCCTTTCATGCCAGGAACCTCATCAGCTTGTTTTATAAGATCGTCAAGGGGGAGTACGCCCAAGTGCCTGCCATCTACTCGGGGAACTTGCACCAGTTGATCAAGAACCTTCTCAACAAGTGCCCGGAGGAGCGGCCTAGTGCCAGCACTATCCTCAACATGCCCTCCGTCCAGGAACACCTCAAACTCTTCATCAAGAAGCAGGAGCTGCAACTCACCAAATGCCACCATTCCCTGAAGCAGCTTCACGTGACCAAGAGAGAGGCTGACGAGGTGACGGCTGGCTTGTGTGACCCTCTGTGTGCCTCCCACGACACCAGGAGCTTCAGAGCGGTGTCAGCTCCCCCCTGCCTCAGCGTCCAGAGTATCGACCAGGAGCAGGCTCCCGAGGCCCATGGCGATTTGGAGCTCTGTGAAGAAGAGACCAAATGTGAATACACTGATGACTTTGATCAGGACAGCTTGTCCTCAGGAGAGAATTCTCCTGAGGGTGAGGTCCCAGGTTCCCCTGTAGCAGATGAAACATACGAAGAGGCAGAAGGTAGGCTTTAACGTTCAAAATCACTCACTGAAAAGAGGAGTCATTTTTCACTGAAGCTACATTCTAATAACCTTTTATTCAACTAGATAACAACAATGATTTGCATTTATAAGGCATCCCTCACACAGGGCAGCATCCCAGAGCACTTCAGATGTTTAGAATCCACAATTAACACTGTCATAACACGGCTTTCTCAGTCGTACAACTTTCCCCAAATGACAAAGCAACTTCCCTCAAACTCAGGCTGATGATCTTATCCACTTTACTTTTGGAGAAATGCAGCACTGAAGCTCATTTGAGTGCCCTGCTAGCTAACAGCAACAACAAGATTACATTTGTATAGCGCCTTTCACGTCGGGAGGACGTCCCAAGCCTTCCTGCTCCGCCCTGGTTCAATGCCACACGTGGAAGCTGAGATGATAGAGGGAAGTGCCCCCAATGTTATTTTACAGCCATGGCATTGTCCCTGACAATAATAATAATATTTGGTACAGCACCTTTCAGATCGAGAGAACGTCTCACTGAGCTTCACTACTGTTGAGTGCAGTGACTGTGTTTTGTGGGCGAACGCGGCAGCCAATTTGCACACAGCAATGTCCCACAAACATCCATGAACTAAATGACCAATTTTATCTGGGACATGTGTCACAAAGGGAAGGGAGTTTCTCTCTCCCGGTGACCTGGCCAGCAATCCCTCAGATAAAACTGGACACTCACTCAATGGCTGCTTATTGGACATTGTTGTGCTCAAATTGGCTGCCATGCTTTGCTCACAAAATACACAGTCAATCCACTTTGCACTATACACTGTGGAGTGCCTTAAGACCTTCCGACAACGTGATAAGGCGCTATATCAAATGCAAGGATTATTATTATTATTTTTATGTATCCCTTTCCGAATAGGGCCATGAGACTTTTAACGTCCACCTGAACAAGACGGACCTCGACTAGCTCCTATTTATATTCACTTAAATGTGGGGAAGTGCTTAGCCTTCTGAGCAATAGAGATTAGTATTGTGGTGTAGTGTTGGGCTGTATAACCTGAAAATTGTGTGTCATTTTACATTTGGACCATTAACTCTCATTGATTGTAACTGGATTCTTCCCACTCGTGGCCTTTCTTCCCATTATTTTCACTTGTCACTTTTTAGCTGAAATTTTTTTAGCTGGAACTCTGTCCCACAGTCCCTTTGCTTCGCTCCCTCCCTTTGCCTCCTTCAAGGACCTTTTCAAGACCCCAGTCTTCGACCGTTCCTTCGGTCACTTTCCTACCCCCACCCTTCCTGCCTTCCACTCCTCCTGATCCCAACCCCCTGCTCAGATCCAAATCCTTGACTGTCCCGCACCTTGGGACATCCTCCCGACTTCAAAGGCACTGTGTAAATTCATTTGTTGTTGTTCTCAGGCCTGGCACTGCAGTGCCTGACGTGTGTTACCCCGATGCCTCAAAACCAATTTTACTTTAAGCAGAAAAGGGCAAAATCATTGCAGGGCACACAGAGGATGGAATCAGGACTTAAACAATGAATTAAGGTTAAATTATAACTAAAATGTGTGGTGTAATGCGACTGTTTGGGGGGGGGGGAGTAGGAGCCCCACAGATTAATGAAACAGTCTGTGAAAGCTGCCAGGAGTGAAAAACCTGCTGATTTTCACCTCCCTGACGCTGGCATGGTTGAGATTAGCTGCATCAGCACAGGGTCAGTACAACACATCCTGTACGTTAGTGCTGACCAGGCAGTTTGGCTAAACTTGTACTTTAAAAAATCTATTCAGTGCTGCAAAATGAATGACAGCTTTGAGGAGTTGCCCCACGTGAAGGGCGTTTTATATATATATATATATATATATATATATATATATATGCAAGTTTGCAAGTTGATTGACGAGACTGGAGATTGAACCTTATTATAATAATAACAATAATCCTTGTATTTGCGCACATATCATGACTCAAATTGCATATTATTTATATTATCTTATTGCACTGCTGAAGGGGATTGAAGTTTACTGCTGGGGGGTGGGGTCTCCAAACTTAATGATAATATAATAATAATAATAGACACATGCACAAACATAGACCCAAGCACAAACACACAGGCACACACAGCAAGGCCTGGGGTTTGGGTGAGAACAGGACTGAGTTTGGCTCTTGACATTCTCTAATCTTTGGTGTGAGGTGTCATGGAAATATGAAGCTTCCATTTAGTTCCAGTACATCCTGGATAATAATAACAACAACAACAACAACAAGATTCCATTTATAAAGCGCCTTTCACGTCAGGAGGACGTCCCAAGGCGCTGCACAGTAAATACAAGGATTATTATTTTTTCCCTCGTAATTGATACAGCGCCTTATCACATAATCAAGACGTCTCAAAGCGCTTCACAGAATATACTGTAAAGTAAATTGACTATATTTTGTGAGTGAAACATGGGAGCCAATTGCGCACAGCAGCGTCCCACAAAATAGTCATTCCTCTTTACTCCTTAAGTCCTGTGAAGCACTTTGATGCGTCTCGAAGACTTGATAAGATGCTAAATCGAATGCAAGGATTATCATTATCATTAGTGCATGACCTAACATGTCTGTCTGTCTGTCTGTCTGTCTGTCTGTCTGTCTGTCTGTGTGTGTGTGTGTGTGTGTGTGTGTGTGTCCGTGGTGCAGTGCTCACTGATGAGGTAGATTTCACTGAGTACGCGGATGACTTTGAAGAGGGGGACGATGATCTGGCAGAAATCGTGTGCAACGCCCGATGTGCTATGGAAGTCACTGCCGATAATGAGGCGTTTCTGGAGCAAAGAGACCAGGACGAAGCAGTTTCCAACATATCCTCCACCATTAAGACTCTGCGAGAGAGGTGTATCGGTAAGAGGTTTTGCTTTCAGCTATGGCAGAGGGATTCTCCTATGCTGATTGTTGCCTTCTGCTGGACAAACTTTTGATGTTCCTGGGTGGGGGTGGGAATGAGGTGAACTTGAGGGGTGAACGACACTGACCACCAGCCACAGTTTGAATTGCAGTTAGTCGTAATCCTAAATTTTCCTATGCCCGAGAATCGGACTTGATCCAATTCCTTCACTATTTCTGCTGCAGTTGATTCCTAGAATGTACAGTTGATTCCTAGAAAGTCTGCCCTCTCCCACTCTCTCTCCCTTTGGGAAAGTTGCTGGGTACAGCTGAGATCTGAAATACGCTGAGTGCCATATTCTTTGGATTGAAACTGCCCCAGGCTGCGGTGTAAGGTATTCAAAAAAGACTGAGAAACTAAAACCAATTAAAGGATTTAATTTAAAGATAACAATTATAATTTTAGGTCCCCAAATCTTACCAACTTGTGCCTAATACTTTCCGGAATTAGGTAAGCAGGATAAGTCCCTTCAGGGAGGGAGGACATTCCATTCCAACAATCTGTCTCTGGAATTTCCATGTGTAGGTGGGATGCATGGAATTTTCATTTGGTTTGGATACTCTTAAGCAGATGATGGGTTTCCGCATGGCTGACCTCCCCAAAAAATCAATTTACATTCCCTCCCTCCCTCCCTCCCATTCCTTCCTCTTTGACCGTGCTTTCAGTCATCTTCCCACCCCATTCCCCTCTACCCCTCTTCAATCCAATCCCCAGCTCGGGTGCTAATCCTCGATTGTCCACAGCCTTGGGACGTCCTCCCAACGTGAAAAGTGCTATATAAACATAAGTTGTTGTTCCCTCTCTCCCTCATTTCCTATTCCATCCTCCCATTCCTTCATTCCCTCCCATTCTTTCATTCCCTCCCATCCTGTTGAGTTTGAGACCTAAAGAAGAAAATATTTATTTTAGAAAGAAGATTGTAAATTAGCAAAATCAGTGAAGCATACTGAAGTGTGCAGCTCCAACAACAACTTATATAGCGCCCTCCACGCAGAGTAGCGTCTCAGAGCACTTAAAAGCATCAACATCAGAGATCAGCTCCATATTATGACACATACAGTATGTGGAGCTGATGCTGATGGCAGAGAATATGGATTTTCTATAGATTTGAATTCAAGGAATGGAACCCATTTGGAGGGAACTCAATGGACTTTTTAATAGGTAACATATGAGGCAGACTGGAGTTATGTTGTCAGTTATTTTAATACTGTTACAAACTGCAGCGTTTGTGATCAGAGAGGATTCAGGTTCTGAAGTGAGAATTTCTGTGATTGTTCTTCGACTGGTGAGCGTAGCCAGCAAATGAGTCAAAATACACAGTCCAGCACAATTTACATTGATACTACGTCAGGAGGACATCTCAAAGCAAGTTCACAGTGCTGAATGGACACTGGGGGTGGGAGCCCAGGAACCTGGGAGGAGAAAGATGAGTCAAAGAGGTGTCTTATGAAAGAGGGGAGAAAATGAGGAGGAGGGGCTCAGAGATGGAGATGCTGAACCTTGAAAGCCCTCGTTGCTGAACACAGATGACAAACTGCTGTTTGAGGGAGGTGTCTGTTTGTGATTGCAGATGATGTTGGCGAGACCCTCTTCCACCAAATTGCTTCCAAGTTCTTCCAAGGCCTGACTCCTGAGGACCTGCAGCCTCAGTTTGAACATCGTTTGGGTTCAGATCACCTGGAGACCTGCTACCTGCTGTTCAGCATGGACCAGGACGAGGCGTAGTGCAGTGTGGGGCTGCAGAGCACACAGTGACGTTCACCCGTCACATTTCTATCCAAATTCCTGTAGTGGCCGATGGATAATGAGCACTTGCCACCCAAAGGACCTTCGTCAATACCTCCACCAGGTAACCAGCAATACACCAGCCCTGCCTGCCTGCCTGCCTGAACGCCGTCGGGTTTCCCGGGAGCAGAAGGTTTCCAGCAGCGCTTGGGTAGACGGTCGCTGGACACTCGCTTTAGATTTTGAATCCCTTATTCCTGTTACTTTTCCCAAATGCTTGTTTCCTTGCCCTTCATCTTAACATTTCACTGTCTCTGAGGGTGGAAGGAGAATAGGGAGGGTGACTCGCTGTTTCTCTTCTTCCCAATTTTTTTGTTCCTCACAAGAACTTTTACTGACGTAGGAAGGCCCCAGCGCTCTGTGGCGCAGTGTTTAAACTTCAACACAGTACGTCACCTCGCACCAGTTCACAAACCTGCCAGGGAGTGCACTGATAGCGACCAGTCACTGGAGCAGAAACTCCTCTCACTCAGCTCCTATAGGTTGGTAAGATGGTCCTGGCTGGAAAGCTTAGAGAGCAATGATATCAATGGCAACCTATGTGGTTTGAGCTGGTTAGACTCCAGCAATTACACTCTGGGGTCCCCAAGCCATGGCTCTTGCCAACCTGGGCCTAATATTTTCCGGAATTAGGTAAACAGGATGTGTCCCTCCAGAGAAAGAGAGAGAGCGCATTCCATTCCAACAATCTATCTCTGGGATTTCCATGTGTCGGTGGGAGGCAGGGAATTTTCAGCTTGGTTTGGAGACTCTTAAGCAGGTGATGGTTGGGTCAGACACTCGGCTTAGCAACACAACTCCTCGATCAGATTGCCAGCCACAATCAATACCGTGCTCCCTCACCCCACACCCCCCAAACACACACACTGGTCTCCAGATATTTCCTGCACATACCTCTGCCTCCATTGCCCTTGGCAGTTGTAGTCATACATATAGCTGACCAGACTTGGATTGGAATTGCGAGGAAATAGGCATTAGGTTAAAAACTGCACTTTAATTATCTTTTAGTCTGCGTGGGCTGACAATGATGCTGTTTGTTCACGAGCAGGCAGATGATGTTTCTGAAGATGATTTGAGTTCTCTTTAGGTATGAAGTGTTTCTCAGCTTTTCAATCATGACTATTTATATCTGCTGGTGTTAATATACTATATAGCACTGAAAAATCTAACTAATGTATAGCACTGAAAATTCTAATTTAATATTAAAACCTTAGGAATTATATTGTGCAACTTTGACGGTTTGGTCGCAAACAAAGTTGGTTAACAGAGGTTTTTTTTAAAAAATGGAACTGCCTCTTTTGTGCAGATATGTAAAGCTTTAGTTTTAAAATAAAACTTCCATCAACGTGGAGAAGGTGTTGTTGATTTGGAACATTGTGGAAGGTGTGGGACACTGAGTTAGTTAGTGTCAGTGTGTGTGGGTATAACTGGCTCCAAAGGGACCTCCTCTGGTGAGGTTCCAGGCTGATCACAGGTGTGAGCACGTGTGGGCCCATTGCACCAAACACTGACATTTCACATGGAGAGAAAATGCCAACCTATTTATTGTGAGACTGGAAAGAACCTTTATCGCAATATGTCTTACATGCGTGTGGGTGCCCATGTGCGTGTGCATGAGTGAGTGTGCATGCACGTCTGTGCATCTGTGTGCACACACTGCCAGTGCGTGTGGTCTCATATGTTTCAACATGCACACATGGGGGTTGGGGGGAGTGCACGTGTGTTTGTTGTGTGTGTGAACATGCATGTAAGTGTAGGTGAACGTTCACTCGGTTGAGGGCATTCACGAAGGTGTGTATGTGGGGGTCAGGGAGAGGAATATCAGCCAGAATTTCTGCTCCAGATTTTTAATCCTGATCCTTCACTTGGTGCTAGTCTGTCCAAAGGGTGAGGCTGAAAGGAAGCGAGAGCCAAGGCAAGGCCGAGAGGCGACAGGACCAGAGGCCAGAAAGCAAACGTGTGGTAACCCGGCTGTCTCCACATGAAGGTCTGGTGATGGTAAAGCAACACATAGGCCCGGCATTGACACAGGAACAAGAAAAAAATATTTATTCATGACAGATACCTGGTCCATTGGGGCCAGTGATACCAGACCATTCTGTCACTTGTGGTGGTAGGGGAAGGGGGGAACTGAGAGCTCAGCCACACACCCACCAACCCACACACCCACCAACCCACACACCCACCAACCCACACACACGCCCACCCACACGCACCCACCCACACACACACATGCCCACCCCCCACACACACAGCTACCCCCCCCACACACACACACACGCACACACCCACACACAAACACGCACACACCCACACACAAACACACACACACCCACCCACACACACACACCCACACACACAACAACTTGTATTTATATAGTGCCCCCCACACCGGACGGTGTCTCCGAGCGCTTCACAGTAACGGATCCCGGGGCCAGAGGAGGGGGAGGAGCCAGGGGGGGAGGGGAGGGGGGGGGGAGGGCCAGGGGAGGAGCCGGGGGAGGGGGAGGAGCCGGGGGGAGGGGGAGGAGCCGGGGGAGGGGGTGAAGGTGACCAAAGGTACGGTCGAAAAGAAAGGTCTTCAGCAGAGACCTGAAAATGGGAAGGGAGGGAGGAAGGCAGTTCCAGAGCTTCGGGGCAGAGTGACTGAAGGCACGGCCGCCGAGGGGGGAGCGGAGGACTCAGGGGACAAGGAGGAGACCACACACACACCCACCTACACCCACATACGCATACCCACCTACACGCACACCCACCCACCCGCACACACACCCACCTACACCCATCCACCCGCACACCCACCCACCCGCACACACACCCATCCGCACACACACCCACCTACACCCATCCACCCGCACACCCACCCACCCGCACACACACCCACCCGCACACCCACCCACCCGCGCGCACACCCACCCGCGCGCACACCCACCCGCGCACACACCCACCCGCTCTCACACCCCGACCCACACACGCACACCCCCAACCCACACACGCACACCCCCGATCCACAGACGCACACCCCCGATCCACAGACGCACCCCCCCGACCCACACACGCACACCCCCGACCCACACACGCACACCCCCGACCCACACACGCACACCCCCGACCCACACACGCACACCCCCGACCTACACACGCACACCCCCGACCCACACACGCACACCCCCGACCCACACACACACGCCCACACTCCACGAGATTATTACAGTATCTGCTGCAGTGCAGCTCAAGTTCTGAGCTTATGCAGTACCAACAGTTCACACTCGGTGACAGGACAGGACAACGTTCTAACCAGAAGAGGATTGAGAACAAAGCTAAAAGTTTGACGTGTTGAAGCTGGAATCCTTCACATGTTACTCTCTCTCTGCTGACAAAGCCTATCAGTGTAAAATACCTCATCCCATATATGTTACAAAAGAGAAAGATTTTTTGCAGATTTTGATCGTGTTTCTGAAGCTATTGTTGTGTGGAGTTGAGCTGTTTAAAATATCCTGGTTCTTGCTTTCCATCCAATTCACTGTATTATGAGAGGAGCCGTCCTTTAGATGACGCATTAAACTCAGCCAAGGATGAGTCTCCTTGTTCAGGTGGATGTTAAACGTGACACAAAACGAAGCCAGAAAGGAATTTCTCCTCGTGTCCTCACCAGCCATCCTCCAGATTAATTGGTTATTCACCTCCTGGCTAAACATTGCTGTGTGCAAATTGAATACTGCTTTTGTTCACAGATACTGACTACATTTTACAGTAATTAATCTAAAACACTTTGAGAGGTTTTGGTATTATAGGCGTATCAAATGTGAGGAGCATTATTGGGCAAGTTTCCTTACTCCACACACCGCTGTTTACCAAGCAGTAAGTAGGAACCTGGTTGCTAGATTGACGGATCGCTTTTCCAGGGGTAATATTCCTTCAAAAAAATAATAAATTGGTCACTTCAATCCACGACTGTTTGTGGGACGCTGCTGTGTGCAATTGGCTGCCGCATTTCGCCCACAAAATATACAGACAATTCACTTTATAACATATTCTGTGAAGCGCTTTGAGACGTCTCAAAGATGTGAAAAGCGCTATATCAAATGCCAGGATTATTATTATTAACCCAGAATGTTACTAAGTGGAGTCCTGTAGTGTATTGTTTGCGCACTCACTTCACAAGTGGCAGGACCTGGGTTCGATTCCTGGGCAGGATGAATCATAAGGCAACTTTTCTTACTCCACATGCCTCTGTTTAGCTAAATAATTTGCTCACTCAATCCATAACTGTTTGTGGGACGCTGCTGTGCGCAATTGGTTGCTTCTTTTCACCCACAAAATATACAGTCAATTCACTCTTCAGTAGATCCCGTGAAGCGCTTTGAGACGTCTCAAAGTTTGCCTATATCCTGATTCAGATACGTTTCAGATTATGGGCTGGTTGTGTGAAAGATGTTCCCAGTCACTTCACTCAGGGTGTTCACAAAGTCCTGTTACCCCCATATTTTTCTCTATAGTGCACTGACCAACAACTGGAACATGTGGAAAATGATGATCATTGTATTTAGAAATACTTAATTGTATTTATTTGTCCAAAGGATCGGTGTGTGTGAGTGCCATCATCATTTTAATAATAAACCTTGCATTTGATATAACTCCTTATTGCGTCTTCGAGACATCTTTGTTTATTTATTGTTTTGAATGGTTTATTACCCCTGGAAAAGTGATCCACCAATCGACTAACAACCGGGTTCCTACTTACTGTTAGGTAAACAGAGGCGTGTGGAGCAAGGGAACTTGTCCAACGTTTTACCCTGCCCAGGAAACGAAACTGGGTCCTCTTGCTTGCGAGGCGATCGCTCTAACCATGAAGCTACAGGACTCCAAAAAGACTCAATAGTAATGATACTTGCATTTGATATAGCGCCTGTAATTTCAAAATGTCTCAAAGCACCATTGCTGCTGAGTGTAGTGACTGTAATCGTTGGCAGCAGTCACTGCGGCTTTTGCCAACGATTACACAGTCACTACACTCAGCAGCAATGGTGCTTTGAAATATTTTAACCTTTCAGCCATTATATGTTCAGGACTTCCATTGCAAAATTGCGTCAGTGCTTGGGGGTTGCAAAGTGGGTGTCTGTCTACTCCAGCAACCAATTGTGTTCTGTGTGCTCCACCACTGGCAAACAGGAACCCTACCTACGGGAGACCCCTGGATGGTTGGAACTGGGCTCCTAATGTGTTCGCTTCCCAGCTTCCAAACATAGCACCAGCCAGGGCTGGGAATAAGGAAGGGAAGGAGCTGAAATTAGATGAGAATCTGAACGCTGGCCAAGCCCTGAGGCGGCTACGGGAGCAGAGACCTCTTAGCCTGGAGCTGGATGCTATCAGCAGCATTCTCCTTTTCCATGGAATCTCCTCTCTGTATTCAGGCCTGATAATTGGTACAGTCTCTATGGCAAAAAGCCCATATCTGAAGTCCTCTCTCCTGGAGCAGAAGGTGCTGGTGCTGTAGTGTAGCTGAGAATGTCCTGCTAGGAAACCGTGGGTAATTTATGGGCATTTAGCATCTGCCCCCACACTCTGG